AACTCACCACAGCCAACTCCCCAAGGTCAATTCACCATGGCTAACTCACCGCAGTCAACTCCCCATGGCCAACTCCCCACAGCCAATTCACCCAGACCAATTCTCCGCAGCCAATTCACCATGGCCAACTCATCACAGGCCAACTCACCACACCCCAGCGAAATTAGGGGTGATGATTTTTCTTTGTAAGGATCCTGTTCACTTGGAAGAAAATCGTACGTGCATTTCTTCATGATGTGGGCTGTCTTTGGTCTGAGTGACATCTCTTGTTGTTAGGTGTGTGTGTGTGTGTCTGTGTGTGTGTAAATGTTCCCCAAACAAGGGATGGAACGCAAAGAGCAAGCAAAGAGCAAACACACAGCAAACCAGGTTTGATTTGATTTAATTTAAAGTTAATTAAAATCAGATTACAGCGATGACAATGTTTTATTTATTTCCGCTGACATATTAAATAGTAAGCCCTGATGGATGCTCTTTGGAGCTTCCCTTCTAGAAACTGTAGCCTGTACTTTGTTGCCATGCAAAACAAGACCATGATATTAATCATGATCACGGCTTGCCATCTCGGCTAAGGTGGCTCTTTCCCCTGGCTTGATTATATCTCAGAAGCTGCTGTTTTGCTTTCCTATCGTACCCCAAGTCTATTTCAGATTCTCGCGCTTAATAGCAGCTCAGGTAGTCCTCGACTTACAACAGTTCATTTAGTGACTGCCCAAATTTACCACAGCACTGAAAAAAAAAAAAAGGGACTTATGACCGTTTTCCCCACTTACAGCCTTTGTAGCATCCCTTTGGTCACGTGAAAAAAAAACACAAGTCAAGACACTTGGCAACTGACTCGTATTTTATGACGGTTGCCATATCCCGGGATTGCGTGATCTCCCCCCCATACTCACCCTAGTTTAATTTTTACCCGTGCACTCTGGAGTGGGAGGGATCTTAATTAGGGCTTATTTTTGGGGGGGTAGGGCTTATATTGGGCTCACGTGTAAAAAAAAACCAAGCTAGGCCTTACTTTCAGGGTAGGTCGTATTTTCAGGGAAACAGGGTAGATTCAGACGTTTGGCAATGGACTCCTATTTATGACGGTTGCAATGTCCCGGGGTCATGACAAGCAAAGTCACATGGGGAAAACCCAGATTCACTTAACGACCGTGTTCCTAATTTAAGAACTTAACAAATCCACTTAACAAATGGGGCAAGGAAAGACGTAAAACGGAGCAAGGCCCACTTAACCCATTTCTCACTTAAGAACATTAACTTTGGGCTCAATTGTGGTTGGGCGTTGAGGACTGCCTGTAGAAATCCTTCCATTCTCCACAAATCCTTCAATCAGAACCGAGGAGGCTTCTTGGATGAGAAGAGCGAAAAGTCTTCAAGTACAAACCGAGAAAGTCCAGTTGCCTTTTGAAAGAAAACACAAACGAAAAAAGCATCTTGGGGACAACGAAAAATTTGGATGACCGAGAATCTGCCCAGGGGACATTTTAGCACCGTGACGGGTTTCCTGAAGGCTTCTGGAGCTGAGAACAAAGCGCCGGATTTATCCGTAGAATTGTATTTGCTCAGAATTGGAAAAGTGGTAAGATACCGAAAGAGGGAAAAGTAATCGAGAAAATATTTGAATGTGAAGAAATGAATAGATCAACATTGGAAATTAAAGGAAAAAGAAGAATCTGAATACTACATCCTATGGGATTTATTTTATCAATGGTTAGAACAAGGGTCTTCAAACTTGGCAAGTTTAAGACCTCATCATGGCCCTGTTGGATTCTGATTCTGAGGGGGAGGTCGAACAGCTGACAGGGAGTGGGAGTGTGGCTCTGGTGGCTGTGGAGGAAACTGGGGAAGGGCACAGTCCGGCTGGGCATTCAGAGGAAAACCCAGGTCCACCCCTTCTTCATCCTAGGGCACGCAGGGAGGGACGGTTAAGGGAGCAAGGTGAGTTACATGGGTTACGGGGGAGGAAAGGGCCCTGATTCCCTTCATTAGCTGCAGCTGGGAAAACAGGATTTTAAAAGGGCGTTTGCGCACAGCACCTTGCTGGAAGCAAAATGTGAATTATCTTTGTCAAGTCTTATCTGGGTTTTGGCATCCTCCCAACTGTGGGTGTTTCGTTATCTTTTGAAGTCTGCAATTCCTTCTCCTGCCCTGTCTCATTAATTGCTGCATTGTGGTTTGTGTTGGTTTTTATTTATAATCTATATGTAGTTTGGGTGCGGATGGAATTTCTTCCCTTTAAAAACTGTTCTTGGGAGAGTTTTTTTTCTCCAGCCGACGATAACTGGACATTGGGGGCCAAGTTGGAGGAATTAAAGGGACTTTACGTACTTTTGTGACTTTGTTGCTTTTGTGCCACACCTCTTTGGGTCATCAGAGACTTATGGATTTCAACTCCCAGAATTCCTGAGCTAACGTGACTGGAGGAGGAATTCTGGGAGTTGAAGTCCACAAGTCTTAAAGCTGTCAAGTTTGAAGACTCCTGGGTTAGAAAATAAAATGAATTAAAATGGATTAGATGAATGTATAAAGCAATAAGAGAAGATTGTTAAAAAAATATGGATACATTGGATTTTACTTATATGAAAATGTGATTATTGTTATATTGAGAAGGAGAGTATTAATCATAAACTAAGCAACAAAATATGTACCTAATTGACACATGGTTGACGTGGAATGGATTTATTGTGTATAAAAAAATAAAAAACTTTATTTAAAGAAAAGCTCGGGATCGATCCAGAGCTCTGTTACCAGCTGAAAGCCTTGCCAGCCATAGAAGTAGTAGTTCCTGAAGGCCTCTGACAGCGAAAAGGAGGCCGGGGGCGACGCACACAAGTGAGGTTAGTCAGTGGATGACATCCTCCGAAAATAAGACCTGGTGCCTTTTTGGTGGCAAAAAATAAAATAAAATAAGACAGTGTCTTATCTTCAGGGTACCATGGTAAATCGTCACCCTGGCGGATGCTGCAACGGCCATAGGTATGGAAAATAGTCATAAGTCACTATTTTCATTGCCGTTCCAATGCTCCCTAAAGGAACTATTGTAAATCAAGGCCTACCTGTACAGGTAAACCTCCAAACCAGTGGTCACCAACCAAGTCTCACAGAGACTCATTTCTGGCGGAGTTTGGGGGAGAGAAAGAAAGACTTCTGCTGCTTTCCTTGCATGAAATCAAAAGTCTCTCTCTCTCTCTCCCCCTGAGAACGGGACTGGAGATGGTATCCTGTGATCCCAAATAAAGAATGATCGATCGATCGGTAGGAAAACGGGATGAGGAATTTTCCTGCTGACTTTTGGGGGGATTTTTCCCAGGGTCTCTGGTCTGCGGGATTTAGAATTACGCGTTTGATGGTCCCTGAGGTCCAAAAGTTTGGTGACCCCTGAACCAAAAGGCCTCAAACGACTCTCAGAGAGAGCGCTAACAACCAGAGGACTGCAAGGAATATAAATCCTTCCATCCTCCACCATTTACTCTGAACCGAAGAAGCTTCTTGGACGAAAAGCGAAACCTCTTCAAGTTCCCTAATTGAAGCTGTAACTGGACAGCTGGAGGGATTTGCTTGACCAACGTGGCAAGGAAAGTCGTAAAACGGGGCGAAACTCATTTAACAACTGTCTCCCCCGGCAATCTAAATTCTTGTGGTCGTAAGTAGAATGCAAGTGACGCCTGATGAAGGTGGGAAGTGAAGTGGATGAAGGGAGAGTGAGGCAGAACGTTTGGCAGAAGGAGATAGACTCAATCGCAGGCAGTCCTTGACTTATGACCACAGTCGAGCCCAACTTTTCTGTCGTTCAGTGAGACATTTATAAAAGGAATCTCGCTCCAATCTTTCTTGCCATGGTTGTTAAGTGACTCCCTGCAGTTCTCCAGTTAGTGTTGTGGTTCGCTGGCAGCAGGTGAGGACGGCTGAGGTCTTGGAGAGCGAGGACTCAGATGAGGGGCCTACGTGTGATGCAGGGATGGGGCCAGGACCATCGGGGAGTGGAGTGCTGCCTTCGGAGATGGTGGAGGCTGCCAGCAGTGATGAAGAGTCCCCCGAGGAGCCTGTGTCCAGTGCGCATGCGCGCAGGGTTACTTGAAGGAAAGAGCAGCTGCAGCAGCACGGGCGACTCGGGAGTAAGGCTGCAAGGTAGTGGCCTCCCTTAAGAGATCAAAGCCAGCTGAGAAACTGGAGTTCTTTGCAGGAAGCAAATAAGTGTTTGCACTCAAGCCATGTGGATGTTTAGACTCTCGTGGTCGGTACTTGGA